TTTGTATTAAATCTTCCGCATACATCTTTGAAAATCATTGTTGAACAATATGTGAGTTTTGTGAATTGTGTATTTGTCGACATGATCATAATCCAATAAAAATATAATCTTCATATTTTTTGTGTTAAATCTTTCACGCGCCATCATTTGAAAAACCTATATATTCTATTTTTGAAAAATTTGTCGATTTTTTGTGTGTGTATTCAAGGCACCCTCCTCTAGACCATTTTCCTAGTTCATATTCTCACTACACTTCTCACCACCATCAACCAACTCCAACAACCACCACTTTGACTATCATTAACCATTCTAACTATCATTAACCCAGATTTTGAAAATTAAAAATAGAAAACAAAAAACCACTCCTATGAGAATCCTAAACAATTAGAAAATGATTATGGATTGATTGGATGAAGAGTTTTGAAGAGAACTTTTTCATTTTTAAATCAAAGAAGCTATAAAAAAAAACTTAAAGTGACTTACATATGTCCATTTGTCAAATTATTCTTTCAATTCATTTAAAATATCTAATATATACTTATATATGTCAAATTATTCTTTTAATTCATTTAAAATATCTAATATATACAAAAATATAAACTCACTCCTTCAAAACTCAACACTCAAGCACAAATCTGTCAAAGAATTGAATCTCCACTATAATAATTCCCAAATTTTGGTATTCCTTCAACAATATTTTTCAATATGCAGCCCATTCAAAACCTTTTTCAATCGGCAAGTCTTTTTTTAAAGAAAATCAGACAACATGTATGCCGATACAATTATAATTCAAATTTCACAAGAGTGTAGTTTTTTCCGTCTGTAAACAAATTGGAATTTAATTTACAGTAACCAACGGTCAAATATGAAGACACCACATTCAAAAGTTATTAATCTACAATAACAAATTCTCAATCTAACCTAACAAGTCAGTACATATATGATCATATCAATGACCCGTAAGAGAGACTCCAGGCAGGTCCACGGCATGGTAAAACGTATCTGTAAATTCTTCATGAATGTGAAGAAGCTAATGCAAACGCCATAGCAATGCTTAGTTAAGCCATCATGCCTACAAGTGGAGAACAAATGTGTGTTACAATTATCAACCCCAAGAGAAGAAAGTAAATATTGGATGCATTGTGTCTGATGAACAAATAAATCAATCATAAGTGTTCCACTACACAAGTCACTCAACCACAGATGGCAATAACATGCAGGTATCGTACATAATTCATTTTGCATGATACTGTTTTATTTCATATTCATTTTTTAGTATTCCATAATAAAACTTGAACTAGCTTTTCAAATGATTCAAACTGTGTTTGATTGCAACAACAACAACAAATTGGAAATTTAGAGTTTATTTTTATGTGTTGACATTAAAACAAACACATTAATCCTGTCATCATATTCCAATGATTTTTTACAACAAATTGGAAATTTAGTGTTTGATTGCCGGTAAGAAATCACTTTCTTGATAAATTTCCAGATTCAACTAGTAAAGCCATTACTCCTTCCGTCCCATATTATAAACAAAAGTTACTTTTGAGTTATTGAATATCTAATGAATTTGATCTATGTATAGACCAGATACATTAAATATTCAATGAACCTAAAAATGATTTTTGCTTATAATATGGGACGGAGGGAGTACTTTAAATGCAAAGTTGAAAAGTAACTGAACTAAAAAATATGAGAAAGGTATGGGTGGGACTTGAACACAACAGACAGAAGTGAATATACTTATATATAGGGAATGTGCCTCCTTAGAGGGTTATTTTATTTATGCGAGAGTGATAAGTGTAAATCTTATCATGAAATCATACATGGGTTATCAAGATCAAAGCATTTTTTGGTCATATAACCATTTAAAAAAGTGACAATTTCATTTTTCAAACTTATATAATAACTAAACCAGAAGGTAAATGCAAATATGTAATGTAATGCAACATATATTAGAATAAACACAAATTGCAAACCTGCTTCTTCTTCTTGGGTCTTCTCTTTCTTCGAGGCTTGTGAGCATCAGAGTTGGAGCTTATACTACTGCCATGACTTGTCCCTGATCTTGAAGGTTCCCTTACTCTGAAGTCTGAGCTGCTATTTCTATTTGATGTGTTGCTGGGTGTGGAAATATCAAATCTCTGTTTAGATGAAGTTTGGCCTGAAGATGATCCAAACCTTTCCCTTACTCTGAAGTCTGAGCTGCTTTTGTTGTTTGATGTGTTGTTGAATGTAGAAAACTCAGATCTCTGTTTAGATGAATTTTGGCCAGAAGATGATCCAAATCTTGACATCTTGTTTGAAGGGCGAGGAGGAGGCATCAAAGTTCTAGCAGAAATATGCCTCTACAAAAATGGATGTAGATGTTTAAAAACTTCAAAATAAATTCGACTATTAGAGTAAATTGAAAATTAAAACAAAAAGCTACTAGTAATCAACCTGATTTTTTTCATCGCTGGACATGCCGCCGGACAAAGCTTTTCCAGAAGCACTAGAAGCCTGCTCTCTGCAACCAAGAAAATATTTTATCCAGTCAAAATAAAACAGTCACAATATGTCTCCATCATCTCAATCATTAATACAATTCCAAAAAACAAAGACGGCAAATGATTTTCCTACCACACTGTTGGGAATATGCCATAAGTTTTTTAGAGGAAAATATGGCTTCCATTTCATTATCACCGACAACATAAAAAAAGAAAGATTGATTCACAAACTCCATTTTCAACATCCTAATTTCCCTTTACCAAATTGCATGCCATGCATATATGAATTCTAATTGATATAATCACCCAAGTACTAAAACATCTCTGCTCACCTGGTGCTTTTGTCTGTCAATTCATCATCGGCATCAGCTTCATCACTAGAACTTCCAGCAACGAAAAAATCATCATCACTGAGATCTAAAAGCCCGTCATCTTCGCTGCCAGTCTCTACAGAGTAGCATGAAATCTCATTAACATTAATCAAACAGGAAAGAGGCAGAAGTACAAAGACACATTTCAAAATCTGAAGCATAGCTAAAGGACCCAGTCACCATTTTCAGTTAAAGCTTAGCTCGCACCATTTAAAACCAAGCACTTCAAAATAAGGGTAAGTGGCAATAGTAATAGCAACATTCTATGGCTTTGTTTGGATAAACAACTTTACTAAGCGCGCTTATATCATAAATATATCATATAAGTGCTTATGAATAAGCAGTTTCTATAATAAAAGATAGAATAAAGGCAAACTATTTTCATAAAAGCTCTCGGTTGTTTTCATAAGCTATTCTAAAGAGCTTAGGGATATGTCATAAACTGCTTCCATAAGTTCCCCCAAACAGTCTTATAAGTGCTTATAGATAAACTCGAATAAATCAATTTAAATAGGCCCAAGTAAAATCAATATAAAATGGAGGTATGGTTTAGATAATGAAAACAATCATAGTCTTCGAGGCATAACTCAAGGGGTTAAATCCAGGTTCAAATCCTAGATACCAACATAAAACACGAACTAACATTTTCTTATAAGAAAAAATATAAAGCATTGGTAATAACTACCTTCTAAATCCTTGCCACTTGCAGCAGCAGCAGATAACCTTTCTTCAATCTGTTTGCGCAGCCCATTTCGCTTGTCAACTATCTCTTGATCGTCACTTCCACAAAATAAAGGAACATATTTCTCATTCTTGGGAAAGTACTGCACGTTGGAATTGAACCATACACTATTTTATTAATCACTCTAGGTTGTTAATTTCGGATAGCGGCGCGTAGCACCAAACCCCTAAAATGCTATAGTGGCATAACAGGTAGCGGGATGACTGCTATTGTGAAGACTAAAAAACAATGTACATAGTAAAACATAAATTCCAACAGCTACATAAATACTTAAAAATAGAAATTGCAACATACATATCCAATCAAATGAGTTCCCATTAAAATTAAATTATAAAAGTATTCCTACACAACATCATCATCATCCTCTTCATTGACATTAACCCCATAAATTGTTTTTATCATAACTCTCTTGCAGTATTTGTTTAATATCATCCAGCATTTGCCTGCAAGATTTTAATTCTTCCCATATTGTTAACTGATGCTTCTTAGCTCTCGTTATTCCTCCTATTGAATGGTGGTGTTAGGCCCCATGATGATATTGGGCCTAATACTATGTTAATGCAACAAACAGCTACAAGCCCAGAGGTGTGGAGAGTATACACACGAAGAGGGAAGCAAGGATTGAGGGGGGAGTGAACCCTTAGCTAAGCTGGCAGCTTCTAGAAGAGGAGTGTCTTTTCTGTTATGAGTGCATTTCTAATAAATAGAATAGTGGGTCTCTCGTGAAGGCTATCTGGGAATATTCCATTAGTTTGTTAGAATGGAGAGCAAGCGCTCTCTGTAGGGGCTGAGCCCTGTGGCAGTTGGAAACCCATTCCTCCCTCTGTAATTCTTGATTTCAGTTTATATCAATAAGAATCAAATACTTCTCTTCAATTTACCTGAATTCTGGTTTTACTGTTTTCAATTCTTAGTTCCTAACAAACTGGTCCGACCTACCAGATAAGAGTGGTCTTTATTGTTTTATTGCTCTGGTTTTTATAAGAGTTTCACTGCCAACTAATATCAAGATTGTCAATAGATTTAGAATAACCTTTAGTGTTCGAGGTTAGTGTTACTCTGGCAATAAGTCATTCACACAAGTTATCCTAAAAAAAACTTCTAGAAATAAGTTAAAAACAGCTTACAGACATGTTATTAGCCTTTTCCATAAGCTCGGCCAAACTGTCTCACAAGTACTCATTTCAATAGATAAGTTTAAATAAGTCAATTCAAACAAAACCCATATATTTTTTGTCACTTGAAAAACACTAACCATAACATATTGAAGATCATGTTTAAGAGAAGCAAGCTGGTCAGGGGAAGAAGACGCCGAAGCACGCTGAAGCTTCTCCAACCGTCTAATTCTCCGTTCAATTTTTCTCCTCTCAAAGAACTTAATCTTCTTGTCGCGCAAGAATATCTTCCGTTCCAAAGCTAGGCGGTTGTGAACCTCCTGCTGTTTCTTCAGTGATTCCAGCTTCTGCTCCTGTGCTGCTTTAACTTCCAATGGCAAATTCTGCCATTACAAAATCAAATTAGGGTTTGTTGGAATTAGGGTTGGGGATTGAGAGAGAGAAGTTGGTTACCTTTCGGAGCATGCGTTCTGCAGATCGAATCTGGTTTTTGAGAGACACCGGAGGTTTGAATTTCTTGGTGGTGGATCGACGGCTTGGAGGGTTGACCCTCACGCGCCGCTTGTTTAAACCACCGTGAACCATGTCGCCGCTATATTTTGCTTCCTTAGTTTAGGTTTTCTGATTCCTCTCTTGATGTAGTGATCCTTTTCGGATTAAATTTTTATTTTTTATTTTTTTATTTTTTTATTTAATGTTTAACTCTAACAAATCCATGCATTCGTATAAATTTTAGTATGAGCGCCCATTTGTTTTAAATATATATTTTTTAATATAAAAAATGCATATAAAAATTAATAAATATTTTACAAAAAAATATAAAAAAATAATATTAAATTATATCTAAAAAAATCAAAAACAAATTTGAAAGCATCAAAATTAAAGAAATTAAAATTAACGTAAGGAAATATTATAAAATAAAATTGTTAGGATTATATGAGCAATTAATTTATATAATTAGTATAATTAGATTTTTAAAAAATTTATTAGAACAGAAATGAGTTATTAAAATAGACCAAAATTAGAATAAAGATCCATTGAATATCACTCCAAGTTCATAGAAGTGTTGTAAAATAAAAGGAATTTGTGGTGTGATTGGATGTAATGTCATTATTTGAATGGTTATTGAAAAAATTAATTGAATGTATAATTAATTAAAAAAATTAATCAATAAATAATTTCATATTTTTGTTAATAATCAATATTTTGATCAATAATTTCATATTTTCGTTAATATTTAATATTTTGTTCAATAACTTCGTGTTCCCGTTAATTTCATAATATTTTAATCACTAACTTTATGTTCCCGTTAATATTCAATATTTTGATCAGTAATTTCATGTTCTTTTAATATTAAATATTTTAATCAGTAATTTCACATTCTCGTTAATATTCAATATTGTGATCAGTAACTTTATGTTTATGTTAATATTCAATATTTTGATCAGTAATTTAATGTTTTTGTTAATATTAAATATTTTTATCATTATCTTTAGGTTTTCGTTAGTATTCAATATTTTGAAGAGTAATTTATTTCCGTTAATATTTAATATTTTGATCACTAAGTTCATGTTCTCGTTGATATTCAATATTTTCATTAGTTATTTCATCATATTCTCGTTAATATTCAATATTTTGATCAGTAATTTCATTTTTTCGTTAATATTTAATATATTGATCAATAATTTAATATTTTTATTAATATTAAATATTTTTACCAATATTATTGTTTAAAGAACTAATTTAGAATATTTGAGTTATATAAATATATTTTTATAAACACTTTGCCTTTTATATGAATAATTTGTTAAAAAATGATAACTTATTTGATTTAAAGATGTTAAGTAACATTTTTTTTGTTCGAATGAAATTATAAATGATATCGTCTTTCAAAAAGGATTCTATATTATAGTTTAAATATATATAATTTGTGTTTAGAAATATTATGTAACATTTTTATATGTTCCTCGTATAAAATTTTAATTTATCTCATTGATTATTATTTTAATCTAATAAATTGTTATTATTTTTTAGAAAGTATTGTATCTTGCATTAGAATAATAACTGTTCCTATGTTAAAAAAAAAATATGACAGTAGAAAAATTGTGTCAATTAGATGTGATGAGAAAAAACTAATTGATATTATTTTGGTATATTGGGAATATATAAAACACAGAGAATATATTTCTTTCAAGAATCAAATTTTCTATTTTTTTTTATTTTCTTTTATTTGAAGATATTTTTTATCATGATTTAATTATTCATTTTCTATTTATTATATGCTAAAATTAATTTAATTAATTAATTATTATATTTTGATCTGATATTGTTAATTAGTTTTATAATGTTACCTTAAATAAATATAAAATAAGTATCATTTCATATACAACTATTTTTTTCATAGAATACATGTTTATTGTATCAAAGATATCTCTTTTGTCTATTTCATTTGTTAAATCACACATATCTTCTTTCTCATTTATTTAACCATTCAGATCCATCAACTTTATTTCTCATCATCTTTTCTATGCATTCTCTTCAAATGATACCTTCTTCCACCTCTCTTCAAGTGGCACCTTCTCATCAACCCTTGTCTCAAACCAAAAAATATATCAGATTCAACAATTCATTTATTATTATAATTTTAGTACTGCTGTTAGGGAAAGTTTGATTTCCGTATAAGGTTGAAGATAAACATTACCCTCCAAAAAACCTGTCCAAAAATCTATCAAGAAAATTTTGAATCAAAAACACAAAAACCATTTTGAATCCAACAACCACCACATTTTCAAACATTTTGTTGCCGCTTCAGATCTACCACCACATTTTCAAACATTTTGTTGCCGCTTCAGATCTACCACCACAATAACAGCACACCGCCTAAATCATTTTCGTAAACCATGTTGGAAGAAAGAATTAAAAGAGCATAGGAAGAATATGAAGAAATAATAGGAAGAGAGAAAAAGAAGATGGGATTGGAGGGAGAAAAAGAGAGTGTGATGATGTTATTGGCAAGAAAGATTTGTGTTTCTGCCAAAATCTTTTGATTGGAAAGGTTGAGAAAGATTGAGTATGTGTTTACATAACATTTCAGTGGAAAGGTATAAAAAATAAATGATATTTTATTTTGGCATGAGGTTCATGAAGTGGGGTCAGATGTGTTATTTTGTAAACCAAAAGAAAAAGGTTTTACGTTGCATGACAAACGAAAGAAAAGTAAGAAAAGCAATGAAACCATCCACGTGGAGTTTTGTGGGAATAGAAGGACATTTTTGGTTTTTTTTAGAATATTGAATTTTCTATAGACGATTGAAAACTAAGGTTTGAAGTTGAACACCCCAAAATATTCAATTTTGTATTGTCGCTTGATTAAATGTATTTTTTTCCAATTATATATATATATATATATATATATATATATATATATATATATATATATATATATATATATATATATATATATATATATATATAACATAAGATAAATAAGAAATGTTTTATGTTTTTTTAGGAACTATTGTAATTTAAACAATTCAAGTTAATTTGTTTTTAAGGTTGAATATTAGATAATTATTTACTTAAATATTTAAATTGTAATATTTATCGGTTATGTGTCGGGTTGAATATTATGATGATAGAGTCCTAACATTTATTAGAAATCGCATAGATATTGCGGTTAAGGTTGATAGAAACACTCTTACAAGAGAAAAAAGGAAGTATGTAAGGTTGTGTCCAAGTTAATTTAACAAAATCTCTGTTTGCCATGTTATCGATAAAAAGAGGCACTACAAAGTGGAGTATGAAGGTTTATACCTTCTTTGCCTCACCTGGAGGATTTGGGCATTATAAAAAGGGATTTGTTGAAAAATAATAAATGAAGGAAGCACGGCTGGAAGAGGAAGATTGTAACGCATGCTTAGAAGGGGAAGATTATAACGCCTGTAATTTAATTTAATTATTTATTTAATTATATTATTTTAGAATATTTGTGAAGTTGTATAATATTGAGGATCATTGATATAAGTTGTTAGATTATTATTAATTAATATATTAGTTGATTAATAATAATTATGATGTGGAATTAAAGGGAATATATGAAATAATGTTGGGCTTAAGCTATTGGTTGGAAGTAGTAAAGTGGGGGTGTAGGTTAGGCCCAAGAGGACTGTTATAAAAGGAGAAGCTAACACAAGGATTTGTTTTAGTTGGAGAATAAGGATTTTGTGCGTTGCCCGGAAGAGCTGCACGGAGAGAGAAGCAAGCTACCTGGTGTCGAGCAGAACGAAGCAAAGTTGTCGACTAGAGTTTTTGGTTGATCGAACTTCAATCCAGGTAAGAGTGGGGTTCTGACCTTATAATGGGATTTATAATGTGTATTACGTGGGAATTGGTCGTTTTATGATTGTTGTGCGTGGATGTTTCTGAATTGCTATCGAAGTTGCCTTATTGTGTGTTGTGGATGTTTTTTGTATCTGTGTGACTGCCCGATTTAATCGATGAGTATGTTAGTGTAGATTGTTGCTTGTCGTTGTGGTCATTATGAAGGTATGATCGTTACGATGTTAGGAATTATTGTTGTAGTCGGTCTTGTATAATGAACGAATTTGTCGATAGGAATATAGTTGCCTGTTACTGTGTTACTCCGAGCGGTTGGTCGGAAGTTATGAATTATAATGGTGTGGTCGTTAAGACGTTGTATCGTGCCTGCGTTGTTGGCCGAATTAGTGATCAGGGAGGATACTGAAGTAGTAGGTACTAAGCGGCGTTTTAGGCTGCGAGGCGTGTCGGGGAATGATGCGTTAGATTTTTCGAGCAGAATTAGATTGCGGGACATGTCGAGGAGCACAGGTCGGTCGTTACCCTGTTTTCTCAATGCGTGTCGAGGAGTATATATTAGTTGTTATACCGTCCTAGATATCGTGCATGTCGAGGGGCACGTAGTTCCCTATCCCTTTTTGCCCGTACATGCTGCATTTTTGGTCGTTAACTGTGTTGTGTGAATTATGTTAAGTTGTTATTTGATTATGTTAATGACTGAATCGTTGATTTATGTGATAGGCTTATGGCCAATGTTGATTTATGATGAGTCATTGTGATGTTGTGATTTTTGTTGTGAATTCTCGTTGATAATGCGAAGTTGCAGGAAGTCTTACATGATGATGAATTACCTCTATTTACTGGTAATAATGGTGATGTGGGCTTATGCCTTGTGATGGATGATGATTGTTGTGAGTATGTGATAGTGCATTCATTGAGTCACATACATTTGCATACTCTGTGATGGCCTGGATTGGTAAACTGCAAAGAAGGCTTATGCCTCGTTGATGCCTCTATTAATTGGTAATTATTAAGATGGGAGTTCTGCTCCATTTTTAAGATGAGAGTTCTGCTCCAATGGTACCACATGCATTCGCATAGTATTGAGTCGCATTCCAAGTTGTATAATTAAGTTGTTGTGATGATGAATTAGTTGTTGTGTTTTGTTGATAGCTTGTTGTGATGGTTGTTGTTTATAAGTTGTGAAGTGGTGATTTTGCATGAACTGATTCTAGTGTAATATTTATCATATGTCCTATTATAATATT